GTTTGGATTGATGTTTGTTTATAGTTGAAATTGGGAACTGGAGGCTTTGGGTTGATTAATTTGAGAGTTCAGTACATCTTGCTTTCCAAGTCTTTTTTTGGATCTCCTTAATGATATGGTGGAGGAAATAGCAGGTGGGATTTTTTGCTAACTTGGTGTCTGTTTGAGAGGTTTTGTTGATAATAATATCGTTAGTGATAATGCCGAGGGGTGCTGGTTGCGGCTTGTATATAAATTTTTGTAGAAAGTTTTGTCTAAAGTTCGTAATATTTATTTCTATTTGATATTTTTGTATTGTTCGGTTGAGAGCTTGTGTGACTATTTCTTCAATGGAGTGTGTGTTAGTTGTGCATATAAGCCAGTGTTGATTATCTTCATTTGTTTGTGTACATCTGTGATATATGGGATTGTTATACTTTGCTGGATGTCAAATATATAAATTAAGAAGTGTTGGAAGTTCGTCCATTATTAATTTTAGTTTGAAGGTTTTGATTTTGGTTTGAGTAGGATGTGTATATCAGCTTAGAGGGCTATTATGATAGTTTATAAAGTTGAAAGTGAGCTCTCAATTGATTTCTTTTGGGTCTAAGTTCCATCGGTGTATTCTATTTAGGTTGTACCAATCTACTATATTTTTCGCATTTTGCAAATGCCTTAGTAATCTCCTTGGGTTGTGGAGGAATGCGTGATAGTTTAATTTGAGAGTGTAAATGTTGTGCAGTATCATCTCTGTGTTGATTTCAGTAGCGATGGTTGTACTTGTGGTGTTTGGTTTGATTGCAGTGTTTGTAGTTGTTATTTGTACTGTTAGTTCTTTCCTTGTAATTGTTTCTTTTATAGTTGCTTTGTAAATTTCAAAGGTTGTAGATAGCAATTGGTTGGCAAGGTATGTGGGGGTTTGAACTATGTCTGTAAAGTCATAAGCTAGTTGTTTTTCATCTGTAAAAATGTTTAGTACATATGCGTAAGGTACTGCGGTGATTAGGGTTAGTAGTGCTGTTAGTAAGGCTTTTCTTTTAGACAACTAAGTTAGATTTGAGATTTGTAGATCAAGAGGTGTGTCTGCTATTGTCCAGTGGGCTATAGGGTTGTGTGTAGGGTTTGTGCTGTTAGGTTGTATATTTATATTAGCATTCAGTACTTTTTTTTCATGAAGAGATCTGTATATTTTCCATAATTTTTGTTGTAGATTGGATGTAGCTTCCATTAAGTTTTTTGAAATCTGGTCTTTATACGTAGTAAAGATGTGTTTTTGTAGTTGTAAATATGGATTATAATTTTATATCCAAAGGTACCCTTGATCAAATCCTTAAAGACTATGTAACTAGTCTTCCAGCATGCAAACGTGAAAAGGCTCTAATAAATTATGAGCTTCTGAATAAAATAAAAACAATTCTATTGGATCCCCAAAATACATCCCTTTATGATAAAAACACACGGATCTGGGCTAGAAAACAGTTCAGACTTGAAGAAGTAGTTCCTGATGATTATAGAGTCATCGTAAAGACCACCAATAACCCCGTATTAATCACTGAAAAAATGTATGAAGTATTCTGTCAAACTCACAGTCAAATAACACAACATGGAGGCCAGAAATAAACCTGGAAAGCAATATGAGAGAAATGGGGATGTGTGAAACAAGATATAATAGAAAAGTTCATAAATAATTGTGCTATATGTGCAGTCAGGAAACCAGCGTTTCACCCTCTTGCCGCAAAACCAATAATCGCGAGAAATTTTTTATCTCGTGTTCAGGTAATTTTTAGTTGCCTAATTAATTATTTACTTCTTTTTTAAATAACAATGATTTATTATAGATAGATCTAATCGATATGACCTTTAACCTGGATGGTGAATTTAAGTATATATGCCATATACGCGATTATTTTACCCGGTTTTTGTGGGCGAAGGCAATTACCTCAAAAAGAGCAATCGAAGTCGCTGCCTATTTGTTCAACCTTTTCCATTTAATAGAATCATCTCCTATGATTTTACAGTCAGACAACGGTAAAGAGTTTTGCGCGGAAGTTATTAAAGAACTAGTTGAAATGTGGCCGTTATTGAAAATTATAAATGGACGCCTCAGGCATCCTCAGTCTCAGGGGCTCGTGGAGCGTGCCAATGGAATACTAGAGCAGAAGCTCAGAAAATAGATGGAATGTTCTGGTCGTGAAGACTGGTCGTTTGGCTTGAGATTCGTGGTCACAGCCATGAATAGTTCATGGTGTAGATCACACAAAAAAACCCTATACCAACTTGTCTACGACGATGATCCTCGAAGCAGCTGTACATTAATCAATGAATTGTTTGAAAAGAACATCCGCAATGAAGAAGAAATCTCAGACACCATTGAAGTTCAGGATGATTCTATTATAAATTTAGATGATGACATAGAGAGTAAACTTTTACAATTTTTAATTTTACAACTTATTAATACTAATATCTAGGAATTTGTTATAAGAATTGGACAATGGCGACGACAGCGATGGAACATGTAAGTTTTTTTTTTTTTTTTTTACTATAATGAAATATATTAATTTAATTCTCGATTAGGCGAAAGCTTTGCACAGTTATACGGCGATAGCAATGATGGCAATAATAATGCGAGTAAGTTCACCTTTGTATAAGATCTTAAATTAAATTATTTTATTTTATTTCTTTATTTATTTTTTATTTGTTTTTTTTTTAATTTATTAACTTAAATTCTTGATCTTGATTCAGGAAAAGACCCTGTATATCTAAATCGAAATGGTGGTGTCTATAGTAATAACGCGGGTAATTTTTACTTTATTTATTTATTTATTTTTTTAATTTTATATATTAACTTTATTTTCAATTAGGCGAAAACCCTGAACAGTTGTGCCAGAGTAATGATGGCAGTAATAATACGGGTAAGCTTTATCTTCGTTATAGTGTTGTTTTATTTGATTTTTTTTTTGTTATATTGATTAAGTCTTGATTTAGGCAAAAGTCCTGAACATCTATACTGGGATGGTGGTGGTGTTGAAAGTGATGATGTGGGTAAGTTTCATCTTTATTATGGTTTTATTTTTTTTAATCCTGTATTAATTTTTAATTTTCAATTTAGGCAGGAGCCCTGAATATCTGTACCGGAATGGTGGTGGTGTTGGCAATAATAATGCGGGTAAGTTTCTTATCTTTACTATAGTTTTACTTTTAATTTTATATTAATTTTTAATTCTTAATTTAGGCTTGAGCCCTGAACATCTGTACCGAGATAGTGATGTTGTTGGCAGTAATAATGCAGGTGAGTTTTTGTCTTTACTATGGTTTTACTTTTAATTTTATATTAATTTTTAATTCTTAATTTAGGCTGGAGCCCTAAACATCTGTACCGGGATAGTGGTGGTGTTGGCAATAATAAAGCGGATGAGTTTTTGTCTTTAATATGGTCTTACTTTTAATTTTGTATTAATTTTTAAATCTTGATTCAGGCAGAAGCCCTGAACATCTGTACCGGGATGGTGATGGTGTTGGCAGTAATAATGTGGTTAAGTTTTTGTCTTTACTATGGTTCCATTTTTTAATTCTGTATTAATTTTTAAATCTTGATTCAGGCGAAAGCCCTGAACATCTGTACCGGGATGGTGGTGGTGTTGGTAGTAATAACGCAGGTAAGTTTTTATTTGTTATGATTTTAATTTTTTAGACTATATTAATTTTCTACTTTTTATTTCAGAAAATTCTAAACAGCAGTACCATGGCAGTAATAATGCGGATAAGCTTTTTTTTGGTTATGTAAGTTTTTTTTTTAATTTAATTTAATTTAATTCTCGATTTAGACAAAAGCCATGGACAACTGTATCTGAATTACAGCGGTAGTAGTAATGCGGGTGAGTTTTTACTTATTTTTCTTTATTATTTTTTTAATACTATATTAACTTTAATTCCTGATTCAGGCAAAAAAAGCCTTGAACAATTGTACCGGATGGCAGAGCTAGTAATAATAGGGGCAACAGCCCTGAACAATCATACTGGGATGGCAGCAGTAGTAATATTGGGGGCAAAAGCTCCGAACAATTGTACCGGGATGGTAGTAGTAATATTGGGGCAAAAGCCCTGAACAATTGTATCAAAGTGGCAGTAATAATAGCAGGGTCGAAAGCCCTGAACAATTGTACCAGGATGGCAATATTAATAATAGAGTTGATAGCCTTGAACAATTGTACTAGGATAATGGTAATGGTAGTAATTCGGGTAAGTCTTCATTTTAATTGTAGATTTTTTTTTTTTTTATTCTTGTATTTCATTGATTTTAATTCTCGATTCAGGCAAAAGCCCTGAACAATTGAATCGGGATTGTGGTGGTAGTAATACGGGTAAGTCTTCATCTTAATTGTGGTTTTTTTTTATTTTGTATTTTATTGATTTTAATTTTCAATTCAGGCAAAAGCCCTGAACAATTGTACCGGGATGGCAGTGGTAGTAATACGGGTAAGTCTTAATCTTAATTGTGGGTCTTTTTTTTTATTTGTATTTCATTAATTTTAATTTTCGATTTAGGCAAAAGCCCTGAACAATTGTATCGGGTTGGCGGTGGTAGTAATATGAGTAAGTCTTAATCTTAATTGTGGGTCTTTTTTTTTTATTTGTATTTCATTGATTTTAATTTTCGATTTAGGCAAAAGCCCTGAACAATTGTACCAGGATGGCGGTGGTAGTAATGCAGGTAAGTCTTCATCTTAATTATGTATTTTATTTTATTTTATTTCTTGTACTTCACTGATT